ATAAAAGAAAATCTAATATCAAATGAATCCTTCACTCAGAGGCACTCAAATGACTTTCTTACAGACAAACTTACTGTAAACAAAGGTGGCTTATACACCAGCCACCCCAGAAACATGCATCTCAGCCTTGATGTATAAAGTGATCTTCATTCTGCAATTCCCTCTCCATTCACTACTGAAATAGATTTTTTAAAAGTCCTATCTAACTGCCAAAAATTCAACTAGCTCAACATTACCCAGTAAGATTCTTCCTCAGAAGAAAGTAAAAGTTGTTCAACTGTCACATTAAGTATTTAATACAGTTTTCCAACTTGCTAGTTTTTAATTAGACATTTCTGCTTTGAAACAAAAGCTGTATACACTTTAAACTGAAATAAGGCCACGTTTCTCATATTTAAGAAAAGCATTAGAGTGGCTTTTCTGTATCCTAAGTTGGAGATTATTTACAACCTCAGCCAACAAAGGCATGGTTATTCCCATTTCCAATGCTCCATGTTTATGTTCCAGAGAACTCGCACTTCTAGTTCCACTGTGTGCTGCTGATTTAACTGCGTCCTCCCTGTGTGAGTTTGCTGGTTGAACTAGACAAGTCTGCCTACTCTAAAGCCTCTGTGTCAGCAAGAATTTGGCAGAAAGATGAAATGAAAGTATTCAGAGACATACCTCAGTCTGTAAAACCTTTGGGCTTGACAGCGCTGGAGACTGGGAGAGAAGCTTTACACGCTGTTGTCTGCATTTCTTTTTAAAGAACATAAAGTTTTGGGGCTGTAAAATGAAATTATCCTCCACCAATCCCCTGGGGGGTGAACTCTGCTAACCCAGTGCTACACCAATCTACATTTTTTAAGTTCGGGGCACTTTTTTTCTTTTAGTTTTTCCTGCACTCTGCCTGGAAGAAATGGACAGGTCATGGCTTCTGTTTCACATTATTATCAAGCCACAAAGTGTCCCCCTCCTCAAAAAAAAAAAAAAAAAACAAACACCCAAAAAACCAAACAAACAAAACAAAAACCCCAAACCCAATCCCCCCCAAAAACAAAAGACACAAAAACCCTAAAATCAAAAAGAAACCTCCCCCTCGCAAGAAAATAAAACACCCACCAAAAAAAACCAAACACCACCAAAGGTAGGAACAAATATGTTTGAATTTTAAGATATTTCCAGAAGCTGCTACTGCTTACAACTAAGTAATTTGATTTGAGAGGGAACCACATTTAATTTGACAGATATCCATAGATATCTGATCCTCTAGCTCTGGTTAGACCACCCTTTTTAAATGGCTTTGATATTAAGAGATCCCAAATCATCACTTCCTTAAGACTTAAAAAACCCCATAAAAACTACCCAAAATTCTTACTACTTTGAATTGTTCTTGTGCCTAAATGGGGGCAAGCACATGTCAATATAAAAGCAGCTACTACACTTAGTCCCTGGGGGATCCAGCTCAGTATTTCATTAGCAAAGGCACTGTGAAACCACACAGAATTTGGGAGATTAAAACATAAGCCACATGTAACTTGAAGTTGTATTTTGTGGCTGTCATTGAAGGTCCCTTCTCTCTGAGCATTATCAGGATCCAGAACATGCCACTGAAGCACACAAGCATGTTGTACATGGTGCTGTGGTACCAGCTCCCTGCTCAGGTTACAAGCCAGCTTGCTTGCAAAAAAAGAAAAAGAAAAATCCAAGTCTGTCTTCATACACTCATTGGAGCAACTTCAGGTTGTGCTGTCAAGTTTTGCTCTGTTTGTAAAGCCACTGGTTTACATCTCACTGACAGCCAGCAGCCTCATCAGTTGACCTATACTTTGCCAAAGTAGTCAGGAATTAAACCAGCTCATTAAAGTGCTCCATACCAGACACCTCCTTTCCCCATAATTAAGAACCAAAGCATATGGGGGACCAAACAGGTAGCTACTCTGAGAACTACTGGTTAATATTCCTCCCTCTCCTGCCATTGTTTTTAATTCTAGGTATTGAAGAGAGACAGTCAGGGTCTCACCATTAAAGAATTTTTAAACTCCTCAATTCCTCCACCATGGTATAGGTTTCAGATTCTCACTTCAGCCTCCCTTCATTTCTGGATGCTTTGCTTCAGCTTCAAATCTGTCATTATCAAAGCACAACTGAATGATCTAGAGCAATTTAAACCAGCTTAGAGCACATAACTCACATCAGCTGTCTATTTACTGTTCTCCAAAACCCAACCACCAGGTACAACTCCATGACTCACCACACCTGATATAGACAAAAGCTGTGTGGAGCAGAGAGACTGAGTATCAGTCCCACCAGGACAATTACCACCAGAGTGGTGGCTTTTGGCTTGAGGTACAAGAAACAACGTGGGTATTAACAAAGGGACACGTTGGAGCAGGTGAGACTTGGAAGACAGTCAGCAGTAGGGAAGGAAAATCACGAAGCTCAGACTCTGCACTATGACTCCAAGGGGCCTGACACCAGAAAAACCAGGGTCAGTCCAGTGCCAGCCCAGTTCAGATGTCACATAGGAAATTGTTTCTTCCTTTCTTAATAGGAAATAGATACGTGGTAACTTTCTCAGGTCAGTTATGCCATGTAGGACCTTTGAAGAGTTCAAGACTCTTCTTCAATGCTCACCATACTTCATGCACACACAAAGTCACTTTTAGTACGGTTTCAATTTCTTTTAGTACATGTAAAGGGATACCAAAGGTATTGATATTACTTAAAACAAAAGCCCCAGAATAGCTGCATGATGCAAGAAAATGGCTGCAGTCAGTGCAGCTGAATCAGTAATAGGGGCAACTAGAAAAGCTCACCAGTTTTTACCAGCACACATAAAGCCTTCAGATAAGAGTGAGCAGAAAGTTAAACAGAAGTGAACCCCTAGATCTAGTAGTGTACAAATGTACTTACATATCCAACCAGTCTGTGCTTCCACAAGGCCTTAAGACCTCACAAGACCAAAAAAAGAAAAAAAAAATACACCACAGAAGCTGAATACTTACTATCAAGAGACTTCAACCAAATGTCCAACTTTCTTTTGTGGAGCACAATTACTAGATCAAAAGAGAAATTTCAGACAGCTGAACAACTACTCTAGGTTACCAAATTTTTTTTTTTTTTAATCAAGTTAGAAAGCAACTATTCTACACTGTTTCCCTTTAGAGATCATGAATAGCAGAAGCTTCACATCACATCCAGTCTGGAGCTCCTCAGTAAGCCCATATCGAGGCATTATTAGCTTATCTGAACGTGCAGACACCTCACTGAGTGTCACTAATAACTTCAGCAGTTACCAAGCCATTAACAAGTAGATGCTGATGTTCAGGACTAAGGCCACAGTATACGATTTTTAGCCACAGTACAAGATTTGTTGGGTTTTTTTTAAGACCTTTACTTTAAAGGGGCAAAACGTTCTGTGCTAGTAGTTAACGATATTGAAGTTTCTCAAACTGATCACCATCCAAACCCAGAAAACAGTGCTGGAGATGCACAAACACATCATCCAGCTCGCTATACCCGGTTATGCAACCTCATCTCCTTACTGCTAACAATGCTGCTTTCCACCCTAAGGCTTCCAACGACATTAACTGAAGTTTCGGGCCAAAATCCCGCTCCGGGAATTCCTGTGCCACCCAGCGACCCTGTCCCTTTGTATGGCTACTCGGCCAACTCCAGCCAGCTTGGCGATTGCACGAGCTTAGGTACACCTGGCACACGTCCCCTTGACAGGGTACGAAGCAATTTTTTACGTAAGGGACAAAAAAGGCGACCCGATTCTCCCAAGGCACCACGCAGACCCGTGCGCTTCCTCGAGTGGCCGGCCGTATCCCGGCCCAGCAGGCAGAGGATGCGGCGAACATGTGCAAGTGGGGGAGGGAGGAAGGGAGCGCTGCCGGCTCGTTTCCCTTTAAGTGTGGCAGCGCACACATGGAGCCGCATTGTGCGGCCCCGCGCATGCGGGGCCCCTCGGCGGGGCCGGGCCGGGCCAGCTCGGCCGCCCGCCCGGGGACAAAGGGAGGGGGCGCGGCGACACCGAGCCCGTCTGACACCCCGATGACACCCCGCTCCCCTCGGCCGCCGGCCCGGCCGCAGCACCCGGGCCGCGTCCGTCCCCCAGCCCGGTCCCCAACTCCTCCTCCCCCGCGCCCGTCCCGCCCTCTCGCCCCCGGCGGACGCCCCCGGCGGACCCCCCCGCCCCTCCCCGCGGGTCCCCCCGCAGCGGTCCCACCCGCTCCCCCGCCCGCACCCGCTGCTGCCCGGTCATGTCCCCCCCGCCGGTGCCTGCGGAGCCCCCGCCGCTTCTCCTGACAACAAAGGGGCCGGCGGCCTCCCCCTCCCGGGCACGGGAGGTGAGGGGGAGCCGGCGAGGGGAGGCGGGACGAGGGCACCGCAGGTCCCCTCAGGAAGGGCTGCGAGTGCGGGGAGTCAGCCTGGGCCCGGAGTGCCTCGTTCCGGGGGTGGGGGAACGATCCTCCTTCCCCCGCTTCTTTCCGGCGCCTCAGAAACACCCCCAAACATCAGCCCGCACACAACCCCCGCGCTGCGGGACGAGCTCCGGCTCGGTTCTCCCCCCGCCAGAGGGAGACGGGACCGCAAGGGGAGGGGACGAGGAGTCCTCCAGCCCTGGTACCGGGGGGCTGGGGGTGCCGACAAGCGCGGCCGGTGCCACTCCGCGCTCCCCCGGCAGGACGGGGACAGCCGAGGGGACGCTCCACCACCGTGCCGGCCCCGCTCCCCTCCCCCGGCTCCCCTGGCAGCAATCGCCGGTCGGGCTCCCCCTCCCCCGCTCGGCCTAGTTCCCTCGGCTCCCGGCTGGGCACAGCACGGCGAGGGGGGGCCGTAATCTCCCCTTCCCCCTCACACACACACGCACTCCCGCCCGCCCCCTCCCCGAGCCGGCGCCCCTTCCTTCCACCGCTACGGGCCGCGGCCCCTCCGAGGCCGCCCGGCCGCTGCTCCCCCGCGGCGGATCACCCGCCGCCCTCCCTTCCTTCCTCCGCCGCCGGCCCAGGTACCTGCTAGTTGTCTCCGCAGTAGCAAGGCGGACTGGAGCTCCGTCATTCTCCCCCGCTCTGCCCGGGGAGGGAGTCCCAGCGGCGGCGGGGACGGCGCGGCTCCTGGCGCTGCGAGAGGTGGCGGCGAGCGTCCCTCAGCCCGTCCGCTCCACGCCCGCCGGGGGTCTGGCTCGGCGCCGGCCGCCACAGCACGCAGGGTCCCGGGCAGGGCAGCGCGGCCGTGGCTCCGAGCCGCCCTCCGCCTCCTGCTCCGAGCCCTCAGCGCCGCCACCTCCTGCTCCCCCCGCCAGGAATTTCACCGCACTCGGGCCCGCGCAGGCGCAGTCGGGCCGGCCGCCGGGCTTCCGCGCCGCCATCTTGAGAGCGGCTGAGGGGCGGGGAGCCGCGCTCGGCCGCCATGTTGGGAAGGTCCCTGCCTGCCTTTCCTGAGTCAAGCCTGAGTTAGCGGGGAGGAAGGGAGAGCGCTCCGTGAGGGGAATCTCCTCACGAAAGACATTTAGGGACACAAACTAAAGCACAGCAAGTTCCACCTCAACTTGAGGAAGAATTTATTTATGTGAGCGTGGTAGAGCACTGGGACAGACTTGTGCAGGGAGGGCGTGGAGTCTCCCTCTCTGGAGAAATGCCAAACTCACCTGGACCTTCCTGTGTCACCTGCTCCAGGTGACCCTGCCTTGGCAGGGGTTAGACTGGGTGATCTCCAGAGAGCCCTTTCAACCCTAACCATTCTGGGATCTGCAAAGGCCCTCATGAGCGACATTATTAGGAAGGAATGCTTCCTTTTGAAGGCGGCGGTGCCCTGCCATAAGTTGCCCATAGAAGCTGTGGCTCCCCCTGGATCCCTGGAAGTGTCCAAGGCCAAGCTGGGCAGGCTTTGGAGCATACTGGGATTGTGAAAGGTGTGGAACGAGATTGTGCTGAGGTACAGCAGCCCCTGAGACACATCTGCCCTCATCAGCAGTGCACAGGACTGTCACATACAGGAGTAAGTAACAGCAGTGTCTGTGCTCAGAGCCCGGCTGGCCCTCAGGCTGCTGCCATCTTCCAGCCCACTACAGACAGGAGGTTTTGAGGAGCAGCTAAACAGAACAGGTTGAAAGGGTTACCAGCTGCCAGGTAAAAGCTGCTCTCTCAGGATTGCTGCAAAATGTCCATTTTTGTCTCTGTGTGTGATGGGGATGCTTTGGAGCACTGCACTGAGGGTGCGCCCTGGGGAGAAAAAGAGACATAAAAGGCCTAAATCAACCCTTACACTTAGGAGGCAAAGGGGCTTTCCTGCATTAGTGTATCCCTGAAGGGCAGCTTAGGCTTGGGTTTGGATGTCCAGCAAAAACCTTCAGAAAACAGACTTTTGAAGGATGACTGTAAGTCTGAGGACAGGCACTGAAGAAGGAAAAAGCTAAAAATTAAGATACTTTATCCCAAGGAACTAAGAAAATTGCCAGGAGAAGCCTGACAAAAATACAAATTGTCTGCTGGCTCACGTGTTGACTGTGAAAAAGGTAGTGTGATAAATAGGTGTGTGCAATTCTAAAATAAAACATATGGGCTGCTCTGCTCCTCTGGCTTTAAGCATTTCATTGGATTCCCTAGTTTTATGTTTCAGTTCTCAAGTATATGCAGTTTCTGGGTAATTGGATGAAGCATTATTACCAGTGATAAAAGCAGGAAACTCCCTGCTCTACTGCAGAAAGAAGTTACTGCAAACTGATTTAGCCTGTGTCAGTTTGACAAAATGTTCAAATCCTTTATAAAAAGGAATTTTTGGAATTTACTTTTGTACTACAAGGGCTTTATTTTGTGAACACCAAAAGTGGCTTGCAACAAAAGGAAAGAGAATGAGCGATGGTAACATCATTTCCTGTGCTCCAATTTGGAAGGCCCAGTATAAGTCTGAGTTTCATTACTGTGCTAGTACAATTAATCAGAACACTATTCCCAGATATTCTTCCAGTTCTGATTAAATCTGTGTCCTTTTCAATGATTAAACTGGGATGACAGAGGACATCCCATAGTGTATGATACCATTACTGAAATTCATCTCATAAGGGTGTCCTTAGCCAAAAAGAAAGTCTTTGTGAAAGCCTTTCTCCTTTGTAGCTTGACTCTAATTCCTAAATGTATTTTGTATTTGTATTTTGTATTGCTTCAGTCAGGTTCATTCAATCTTAAAAAACAATCTTTCCATAGGAGGCTATCATGTGCAAGTGCATTTTGTAAACTTATTATGCTAAGAGACAGTTACCCAGATTGGAATTCAGGCGTGTTGATGGGAAGTGACACTATTGTGGATGGTATTTCTCTTTCAGGAATAAAAAGTAGGCTTTGTTCACAATGTCAGTTAAGCCAGCACTAGATTCACTCACTCAACTTTCTGTACCTGATGTCAGTTCAGGCATGAGTACACTTTCTGACAGTTCTATTAATAGAGGACCTAACTACAGCACTGAAGACTGAAAGGTTATACGAAACAACTCTATTTCTATTACATTCTGTTAATCAAAATCATTCTGTATTGTTCACCATTAGGTCACTCGCTGGCAATTACCTGACTTAAGAAAGAAAGTTTTCTGTGCTTTCCTATACTCCTATGATTTTCCTTGTAAAGAACACAGGAGCCTGTAGGTTGGAAAAGAAAGGATTTGGTGTATGCTGTCACAAATGACCTGGATTCCTTTATTCTGGCAACAAATTCAACCCTGGTTTATAAAAGTAGCATGTGTCCTTGTGGGAGACCCTGGCAGTTTGAAGTGCTCTAACACTGTGAGATCTCCTTGTGTGCAGCTGCAGAGTGTCCAACATGGCCACGGTGGTGAGGGCAGGTGTGTGACTGAGGCATGAACTCGTTTAGTGTTTCCTTGCAGCAGTAAAGACTCTGTGGAATCCCATCATGAAAATGGAGCTGTCACAGCAGAGGGGAGCTCTGTGGGCTTGCATCTCATGTTGCCTGTCCTTAAACACACCAGGCTCTCTGCAAAGAGGGAGAAGCCTTTCCCTGCTAGGTGAAATGATCTTTTTTTCTGTTAATATCTACTTTCTGTACTGTCTATGCACAAACACCTTGTCCTACTGTTTGTTGAGGCAACATGCACCACATTTGAGGAAGAGATCTCAAGATAGGTGAGAATGGTTTTTTGAATTTGTTTTACTGTCCCTGGCATGCAGCCTCTCTGCAGCCATTTCTCCCATCTCTGCATTGAATGGAAAGGCAATAAGAATTTAGATTACTTTCTCTTTTTTGAGACCATTTCTGGTATAATGACTGTTCAACTCTGACAGCCATTTGCTGTGGTCCTTACTGCATTAATCTTTCCCTTGGCAAGGCTATATTATCATAATAATTCATCTCATTATTAGAATAAGAAATCCTGGCACTTTTTGTCACCTTAAAAAGGATCAAAGCTTCACATTCAGCATCTTACTTTTCTTGAATATTATGGTTTTTGTTTGACTTTCTCCCCAGCTCCTCCTTCACAACACAAATCACAGATTACACTGGTAGATTGTTTCTGTTCTGTAGAGTCTTCCAGGTGCATTCACACTGTTAACATCATCTGCTCCCCTGCTTCAGCTACCTGGCAAACTCAAAAAGCTGATGGTAAGATAGACACAGCTCCCTGTAACATGTTCTGCAAGGCTCCTCTAATTTTACAGGCTAGAGTCAGTGAAAAGACATTTTAAATGGTATCATTGTGAAGTATCAGTTTTTAGGCTTAAAACCAGTTCCTGTTAGGCAAAAGGGGACCATTTATTTGTCCTTTTTAACATTTGCAGGCTTGGGTTTCTTGCAGTTTATATCTAGCAAACAGTAATGGCTAAGTGTTTTAAAGGCTTTCCAGATCCAAGTTGTCACCAGGAAATAATATCAGTTTGCTGAGCAGTTCTGTGTTCCTGCCTCTCCCCTAGCACTTGGTTTTGCTGTGCTTTTATTGATACATAAGTAGTTTGCTCTAAGGAATCTCTTTTTTGAATAAGCCTTGATTGATTTTGCTTGTGAGTAGTAAAATCTAAGTTATTTCTTCTGTATTGTATATAGAGGTAAAAGTTGGCCATTACTGGGATATGCATCATGAAGAAAAGTGCTCTGAAAACTCCTTGTGAAGAGAGAAATTGGGAAAAAGGAGGCAGCAATTCATGGTATTTTTTGTTTGATTGATAGCTCCTTGAATAAGAGCACAACAAAGACTAAAAGCTGGTTTGTTCCCACTCCGGTGTGACCTATAAATAAAGTGGGGACTAAACTTGGACTGAACACATCAGTCTGGGCTCGAGTATTTGTGCTGAGTTCAAGGCTACTCCTACAGACCAGGTTCAAAAGTTTAACTGTTACTCAGATGCCGCTGGGCTCACGTTTCACTGAAGTGGGTGTGTGTGTGAAGAAGTGTGATTTCCTGGAAAAATCTGGACCAGTGAATCAGTGGCATGGCAAACAGAGAGAAGCCTGGCACAGGAATTGCTGCAGCTGCTGTAATGCATCTCTTCAGAACCTGCCTCTGTGCAGGGCATGATGAAATACTGACACTGACTTGTGTGGTAGCAGTGCTCAGCTTCTCCAGAGCCTGCCTCTGTGCAGGGCACAATGAAATACTGACACTGACTTGTGTGGTAGCAGTGCTGAGCTTCTCCAGAACCTGCCTCTGTGCAGGGCACAATGAAATACTGACTTTGTCTTGTGTGGTAGCAGTGCTCAGCTTCTCCAGAGCCTGCCTCTGTGCAGGGCACAATGAAATACTGACTTTGCCTTGTGTGGTAGCAGTGCTCAGCTTCTCCAGAGCCTGCCTCTGTGCAGGGCACAATGAAATACTGACACTGACTTGTGTGGTAGCAGTGCTCAGCTTCTCCAGAACCTGCCTCTGTGCAGGGCACAATGAAAATACTGACTTTGGCTTGTGTGGTAGCAGTGCTGAGCTTCTCCAGAGCCTGCCTCTGTGCAGGGCACAATGAAATACTGACACTGACTTGTGTGGTAGCAGTGCTCAGCTTCTCCAGAACCTGCCTCTGTGCAGGGCACAATGAAATACTGACTTTGCCTTGTGTGGTAGCAGTGCTCAGCTTCTCCAGAGCCTGCCTCTGTGCAGGGCACAATGAAAATACTGACACTGACTTGTGTGGTGGCAGTGCTGAGCTTCTCCAGAACCTGCCTCTGTGCAGGGCACAATGAAATACTGACTCTGGCTTCTATGGTAGCAGTGCTGAGCTTCTCCAGATCCTGCCTCTGTGCAGGGCACAATGAAATACTGACTTTGCCTTGTGTGGTAGCAGTGCTCAGTTCTCCAGAACCTGCCTCTGTGCAGGGCACG